CTCAGATATGGCTGCCAGTCTCTCCTATGACAGGGGAGGTCCCAGCACAGGAACAATGAACCCTGCGAATACCCTCACTAGGAGGAAGCCATCCCCAAGTTTCTGCCCGGATGCCAGACAATCCAGTTCCTCTCTGTATGTGTCTGGGTCCCACAAAGCCACCCAGTGCTAGGAGTCTGAGTAAGTTCATGTGCTGGCCCTTTAAATGGAACACTTGGGTCTCCAGCAACCTCCTCATCACTCAGCCACAATCCCCGCTGGTTTTTTACAGCCCATAGTTGCAGGGACATCTCTTACCAGCTCTGGAACCCTGTTCTGGGGGTTTGTGGGGCTGGGACCCCTTGCTCCTCACGGACGGCCTCCACAGAGATGATCTCCCTCCCGATTAAACAAAAGGCACACATGGGTATCAGACCAGCCCGTTCTACGCCTCCGCCCCTCCTACCAGTCTCAATGTGTTCTCTTCTTTACTTCTCTAGTTATAGGACTTCATTCAGCCAGCTTTCAGGCAGTTCTGAATGATGGTTGCTCTGTATTTTAGTTGTAATTTTGATGTGGTTGTGGGGAGACGGCGAGTACAGGCATTTACCTACACCACCATCTTGGTTCGTTCCTCTATCTCTATATCTACCTAAATTTGAGGTAATAAGTATTTGTGATTAAAAATAAAGAGAATGGGGAAGGAAATGCCAGAGTGTTATTTTATTTGGGGTGGTCTGTGAGGGCCTTTCTGAAGAGGCATGTGTAAGGAGCAGCCCACATGAAGTGAGGAAGGCAGGCCCGTGAATAAGGAGGGAAACATGTTTCTGGCAGAGGGACCATCAAGATAGAAGGCCCTGAGCCCTGGCTGGTGTGACTCAGTTGTTTGAGCATAATCCCATGCACTGAAGGGTCCCTGGTTTGATTCCTGGTCAGGGTACATGCCTAGGTTGTGGGCTTGATTCCCAGTGGGGGGTGTGCAGGAGGCAGCTGAAAGATTTCTCTCATCTCTCTCTCTCTCTCTCTCTCTCATCACTAAAGACATATTTTTAAAAAAAAGAGAGAAGACCCTGAGCTGGGATTAAATGAGATATATAAATAAAGGTTTGGTATAGTTATTTTCACAAAGTGAGCTGCCATTACTGCTACCACACTATTGCTACAATAACCCATCACTACAGCTGTTGCAATAAAGAGGACCAAGAACTGACTTCTGACTGCTAT